GGGCAAAAGTATTGCAGGGTGTAAGCCCTATTGCTCTGGACGTACGCTTAGGCATTGAGCGAGCTTTTATTTTGGGGAGCAAGCCCATAAAACCTCTCCAAAATAGAATCAAAGTTGCTAAACAAGACCTTAATTTATTACAAACAAACACGTCAGTTTGTTGTTAAATTCTAAAAAGTCAAAAAACTTAAAAATCAAAAGATTTTTATTCGTAGCCCTTTGTTCTTTCTCTTCGTTTTTTACTGGGTAAAAGGGAAAATGATCAATTAGCAAACAACAAAGCAAAATGCATCATCCTTCACCTTCATCACTTGCTTTGGTTCGACGCTTCCGATTGTAGTTCTTTCTTCACTTTTCCTTCTTTTCAAGTTTTCTTGCTCTAGTTTATAAATTTTTACTCAGTTTTTTTTCAAAGCCGGATTTTTTTAAAATTATTTTTTAATAAAATTTAAGATGAAGCAATTCTTATTAGTTTTTAGTCAACCGCTTACGCCCAGCCCCTCGAGGCTTATGCCTCACCCTCTATCAGGTAAAACACTTTACGTCACGTCCGCGCCTTCTAAAACACTGGTCTTGATTGTGCAGCCAACTAAACAATGAAATGAAAGGTTGTCTTACCATCCCCAAATCAAAATCTTGTAGTCAAATTGGTATTTTAGATCAAGTTGCAACATATGGAGTAGTCGAATACCATACGATAGAAAGTGCAGATTGTTTATTACTTGATGCCGAAATGCTTCATTTATGCACGGACTCTTGATTAGACTAGATTTTTTCTTTTGTCCTGCTGTCATTTAGAAATTCATCTCTTTCTCTTCACAGTGGCCAAATTAGAGCATGTGATAAAAATTCTTAAAATTGCAGAATAACTTCTTTGGTACCAGAACATTTTTACGCCTGCTCCTCCAAAATATAATGCTCTTGAAGGCACAGAAATCTCAATCGACAAAATGAAAACCTGCAATTTGTTTTACTTGAAGCTCAGGCTAAATGAATAAAAACATTTATGCAAAATAAAAATATAAATACAGAGAAAATGCCAAGGTGAAAATGATCCAGAGATTCATTACACTGACTGTTGCAGCTTTCCTTTATGTGAACTTCTGAAGACCTTGATATGTGATGAAATTGCAGTTGGATTTGAGCATTTAGTAATACAAATGATAAATAGGTAACTCATTTGCTTTGCAGGGTATTTTANAGGTAGCTCATTTGCTTTGCAGGGTATTTTGTTCCTGATGTTATAGTGGCAGCAATAATTGGACTGGTGACTAGTTGGTCCATTGGGCCTCTTTTGCCTGTTGTGAGCTACTGGTTAGCCAGGTCACCTATAATGCATTTTTTGCTACACAGCAGTGTTCTCGCTCTGGCCCTTTCATCACAATTCTTTCCATACAGTACTGACGCACCAAAAAGAGTTGTATTCCAGCATACTATCAGGAGTGCAGGTATCAAAGAAGTAGCAATTCATTTTCCCTAATAAGAAGGAAAATAAAAAGGAAAAAAGAAGGGAAGAGATTAAAAAGTGAATTTTCCAGATTACAATTCGGTTCTAGTATATATTTCAGTTTTTGGCGCTTCTTAGATGCTATGGACCCCTCTGGACGAAAAGCTCTTTCCTTTCTGGAGTTACAGAACTAAGTGGGCAGAAGTTGTCAGAAGATATGCCCCATCGTTTCATGTCCTACTTAATTTGTATTGCTTCCTAGTTGCTTCTATGAAGGGGAGGGAACAGTGAATCAAAAAGAAACTCATTGTTTTTTCTTTTCGGGTATATAGTGATCATTTATAACCAGTTGTCTGATATGAATAGAACAAAAGGAGATATACTCTCTCCTTTTAGATTTTGTCCAATTCTGGAAACTGACAAGGAGTACCGGCCCCCCTGTTTCACTTCCAACTCCTTCTCTTCCCCTTTTAATCCTAACCAAACATATTGTACGATGGAAGCCAATAGTACGAGTATGCAACTTAATTTTTTGAGTTTAATCTGTGATTGCGTACACTTCCAGATGAATTCCTTTGTATCGTCTTACTAATTACTAATAAGTTAATGCTGGCTTGACAGGTGCCAGTCAAATTATGGAAACTACCTATGATTTTGCTGTTGTTGACTCCAATTCTCTGCCTTTCGTTTTCAAACATGCCCCTGAAGTGGCCAATGCACTGCACATTAATACAGAATTATCCTTTGCTGCTGTCAAACAGTCTCACCAAGCTGATTGGATGGTAGCTACTTTGAAGCTTGACTATGATTAGCCAAACATATTTTCATATGATATTTGTGTGCTTTTTCCCCATAGGACATAGGCCTGTCTTCTTTTATAAAGGTCTTGAATTGGTTAGATCTGCTCCTACATATACCAGCTTTTATCCAGTCCTTGCTTCCCTTAAGTAGTAACATGCTCAGGCTGCATACTTTCTGTATGTACTGTTTTTGCAGCACTTCCTGTGCTGGATTATAAAATCACCTTATCGGTTCTCCCC